AGTGGTCTGAAGTGTTCAAATGGGGGAGGTGTATATCTGCGTTCGTTCCCTATACCACTCACTTTGTACATATATATATTTTTATTGTGCTATAGTATGGTACATTGGGTTTATCTCCTTCTACACCGCCCCCATTTCATTGGTATTAAAGGCACCGCCAGACCGTCCATCGACACACCTTGGTTAAGTAAATGTTTTATTAGTGTTTAATATAATCAACCCCTGCTTTCTTTAGCAGGTGTTTAAGTAACCAGTCTTGGTACCTTCAACTCTTTTATGTATTGAACAAAAAAGGAGAGTTTTGATGTGACATTAGTAGAAACATGATTGTTGTAAAATGATTATATCTATAAATAGATGCGGTGTTATCTCACAGAATTTATTATAAAAAATCGCAATAAATAGAATAACATGAAAGACTTGTATTGTAATCTTTATAAAATTACAGATGGCGATGGCGTTACTGAATGATCTCTATATAAATGACTCATGCAGACCTTAAATGTTGTTTCTTTTGAACTCACATTGAGACAGTCTTAATTTACCTCTGATGGTGCACAGGAATCCGATGGCAATCACAAATGAATGCGAGTACGAAGTACGCAAAATTTAAATCACGTGGTTTTCAACTTGAAACATTTGGAAATTGGAAGTTGGTCAATTTATTCGAAAACGACGTTTAATGTAAACGCACAGCAGACTGGATGTATATACTATATCATATGCATTATAAATACCGAATGAAAGAGATAGGTACAGCTAAAACAAATTAAAACAACGTCACATGTGTCATGAAGTGCCACAGATCCACAGCAGGTTGAGACCTAGACCGGCACACACGCAGCGCCATGCAAATCGCATCATTACTGAAATGTTACAAACGGTTCTTTATAAGAAAGTATACATTGAGATGATTTTTAAAATAAATAAAATGCACATTTTAGACACCGTCGGACTTTCTGGGCAAAACCAGGAAACCTTGATGGCGGACCGAAGCCCGCAGCTACCGTTCTCCTTAAAGTGAGGCTTAAATTCAGATTCAGATAAGAGCAAATCGAGACACCGTTAACGCTTTTATCTATTAGCTATTAATGCCCTGAAACAAAAGCACTTTGTAATTTAATTATATAGATTCAATTACACCTTTTCAAGTGTGAAAATACAGTAATGTAGGATATGTGAGGCACAACGAACAAATTTTGAGAAATGTACTTAATTAGGTACTTTTCTGTCCAAATAAGTAACGCTTGATGATACGATACGAAGAGTGGCCACAAGCCCATTTTTTGGCATCACATCTGATGGTAGACCTGTGGCTATTTGTTGGACTGAAGGATGGGGAAGAGTGAACTATAGCGTTACGCCGAAAGTACAGTACAAGCGAACTAATAAACTCACCGTAAACGCTAGTGGCCCCAATTGTGGAAACACTTCCAGTTTCAGAGATTGCAGAACTTTAACTGTTGCTCCAGTTACTTATTTATTCGTCCGGTGTATGATATTTGTAAACATTTGTAAACATTCTTTATAAACATTACCGTCAATATTCGTATAGTAATTTATGAAAGCGCCAAAAATGCTAGGTGTCTCCACAATTTTGGTCATTAGTATATGTGTGCAATAATGTATAATAATAATAATAATAATAACCATGTTAGTCCCACTGAGATTTAAAATTTCTTCTGTAAGTGGGACCTGGCCAAGAAAGGCAACAATAAGTATTAATTTCATAGCACACATATAAAAAACGCGTATAAATGCAGTGAAGCAATTGTCAGGCTGTTTACCGTTGGCGGTTGGCTTATTTCCTGACTCGCGGGAGCAGGTCACGACCTAATATGAGTGAAATAAAATACTAAAATAAAAAAGATATGAAATAACAAACACAGGTGCATCTCCAAGATCAGCTCTGACATGTAAGGGCCCAGCAGGCAGCACACTGTCACCTCTCATGTCCCCAGCTCTGACTTAAGGGGCAGTGAGGACCCCTGGAAGGACAGAAAGCTCATTTGGTCCAAAAGGGATAACTACTAATGACTGATAATGAAATCCTTCATGTCCACTCCCCCCTCCACTGTTTCCCACGTTCGGAAAGCAGTCGATCATGTGTTCATATCACCAGGTCAATGTCTGCTGTGGGTGGGGTAGGGGGACACTAGCATTTTCCCCAGAGCTGGGTGCCGGATAGTGAATCTGATGTCTGACAACATCTTATGCCAATGAAAAAGCAATCAGGCCCTTCTCCAGTCCCACTGGGACGGGACAGCAGCCTGAGAGCAAAACCTGAATCCCAGCAGATTCCCAGTGGGATCATGCACTGATTCCCAACACAGACCCCCTGTTTTACCCTTCACCCTGCAGAGCCCATGGAAGGCAACGGAAAAACATTTAGTACATTAAGAAAAGGCAGATCTTTATACTGATACACCCACCAATCACATGTATGTATCATAGAGTATATCAATCTATCGTAAAAAATAAGTGGGATCCCAAACAGAAACTGCAGCATTCCTACCAATGCCCATCAATAAAGATTGCAATACTTTTAAGTATAAAAAAATCTGCAAGAAAGCTTTTTAAACATTGCGCTAAATAGATGAGCCAGTATGAATAACAGTATCCATTATCTACCCATTAACTCATCCATCTTGTATGTTGCGTACATGCCAGGGATTTAAACAAGTCTGGTGGTCCCCAAACAAGGCATTTAGGCCTGCTAACTAAATCAGCACAGGGTCTCACAATAGTTTTTCTTTTTTTAATTAACATGAATAATTCCTCAGTTTTCCCACAGAATCCCACGTGAGAACAGGCAGGACCCAAACTTTGATAGATCTCAGTGGACCATCCTTTCTGTTAAAGACCTGCTTACAGGCCGATAAAAACCATCACTGAGGCCTGAGATACGTAGATAGGGGAGAAGAATTCAATTAAAGGGCTCCTCCCTCCCCGCTGAAGGGACGGTCCACAGGGACCCATGGGCCTTCAGTGAACCTGAGAGCAGGCTGGTTCTCAGCGTCCGCAGGGAGTGATGGAAGGACCCCACAGCGCTCTCTCATCAAGCGAGCGATCCCCTGAGGGGGCGGGGCATCATCAATGAGAAGGGGAGGCAGTTGTGGGGGGGGGGTGCACGTTCATGAAAGAGGCCGCTAATTTGGCCCACTGAACAATGACCCACCGTCACAATGCCGGGCTCTGCCATAGTACAACTGAGCCGGGCTCCCACCCTGACGAGTCCCTGGGGGCCACGAGAAGGGTGTGGCCCCTGCCCTTGCAAAGGTCCCTTCCCTCCGCACCGCTAATCAACCCCGCGACCAGTTTCCTCATCATCCTCAGCCTTTACAGCAACTGCAGCAGTTTGTTAGTAAGATGCTCTCAGCAGTGCCTGTAACAATAATGAAAGAGACACATAAACATGTCTAACAAGGTAAAAGGATAAAGACAAGATCCTCCAAGTATCCATCCCAACCCCAGGCAGCACCTGTAGCTGCTGTTAAAATGACAACAGAATTAAGCTGAATTTTTGACATCCTGCATAGGACAAGTGGGTATAGAAAATGGATGGATGGATGGAGGGATTGGATGGATGGATCGATGGATGGATGGATATCTGTGTAGTGCCATTTATGAATATGTGACTAAGGCTAACAAATTCAAACTAATACTTCAAAAAGTGTCTCATACACTTGTAATTTATAAATGTAAATCTGCAAAATCTGTAACCATGCAAATAAGAGAATCACCATAGAACTTTTTTTCCCATTTGGACGCATTACTAAGAAGAAGACAGTCTCAAGCATATTTAACTATGGATAAGAAGTGAGGATCACACACTAACAGATACTCTCTGTAGTTACCAGGACACGGTGCAGCATTTTAGGCCTTTAGCAGGACTACAGAGAGTCTCGCACCTGGGCCGTGAGGAGTTTGTATGTGTGGACGGTTTCCTCAGAGCTTGTAACTCATTTGCCATTAACGTGTGTACAGATGCATGTTATGTTGCATTCCATTTGAACCCAGAAGTTGAAATTTCTGAGTTCCTAGTTGGAAATTTCAGCTGGACCACTCCCTGAAGTTGGAATCCCAACCTGGAAAGTTGGAGGGACCTCTGCATCTCAGACCTCAGAATCCAAGATGGCTGCATCCTTCATCAACAGAAGTGAAAGCTGTAGTTTTATACTGTCTATTAACACTTACATCTTATTTGTGGCTCATTAAATCGGTCGTACGCACAATACTGTCCAAACACTGTCTGTGGATGTGTTGGTACAATGTTTGTACTGTATGTGCCAAATACCATGTAATACATTATCATCAACAGGTATTGCTAACAATGGCTAACACTTAACTGGGCTAGAACTGGGGCCTATTTCAGAATGTGGGATTTCTTGCTTAGCCGGATAACTTATCGGATTTAAGGTAGTCTGGGCTAAATGTAAGGGAATAAAGATAAAGGCTATTTAAACTGGGGTACTTTAAATCCAACAAGTTATCCCACTAAGCAAGAAATCCTGTTTTTGAAACAGGTCCCTGGTATTGCTAAATGGCTTAGCGACTTGTTAAACTGGAATGAGGTTAACTCAGGTGTGACATCATTCCCAGCTGCGAGGTAAATGGAATGCAGCATTATTGCCATGCCAGGGTTCTGACACCCCATGAAAATACCCAGACCTGCCTTTGATACATACTGCTACATACAAACTGACTGACTTTACCCTGGTCAAAACACTGGACACTGAATAACCCACACACTAACTGTAGCAAAACTGCATACTTTCCAGGAAACTGAATGGGTCTGCCAGTGGCAGCCATCATTAGAGGACCCCCCCACCCCCCAAGCACTATCACTCTCCACTCCTAAGGCCATTAACAAAAAAATGCTTCCTGGTCCAATTTCATTTGGAAAAACATTTCCTGAACCCTGTTTCTGTGAAATCGAAAGTGACGGCAAACAGCCAATAAGCTCATTTAAACTGTGTCCTCATTACCTTCAGAGATTGTGCACGTCTGGACAGTGAGTAGCTGGATTAACCATAAAAACACTCAAAGCCTTACAGATACAGGCAGGGGCTAGATGTGCTTATCTATTCAGCACGTACTCTGCCATCACCCGGCCGTCTGTTTACCTTCAGAGGGGTGCTGTGTGGACAATGATTGACCGGGGAACTGGGAGGGTTTCTGGGAGAAGAAACGGCAGGTGATTCCTTTCCACTCTCCAAGGTGCGTCTGTGCTGCTCGGACGATTATTTCCAACTTTGGTCTTCCGCAAGACAGTCAGGAGATCATGATGAAGGCCACCACTACTGTCCCGCTCCTGCTTCTGCTGCTGCAGGGGGCAGCCACAGCCCAGGAAGGTAGGAGCCCCCCATCTCTCGCTTTCCTGAACCCTAACCTCTGTTACAGTTCACATTCTCATGGCTGCCTCGGGAAATGTGATTTAAGTCAGGTTCTTACAGGAGATGGTGGTATGGGGCTCGTTTGGCTCACATTTGTGGTAGCTAATTTGGGGGGGTGGGGGTGAGGTTAAATCCTGTACTGTTACCACTGCTCAGAACTATGCACAGCAGCACACCACTTCAGAAAACTGCGTATTTACAGTTTAACTGATGTTGCATCATTCTTTTTGTTCTCTAGTTTTCTGCTGAAGGTTAAATCCCCGTTTTTCAGGCATTTCGGGTGAAGCAGATTGAGTAGATGCATCTCCGGTTGGGTCAAAGTTATCGGAGGAAGAGAGAGAGAGAGAGACACCCAGCCACTTTTAAATCAGCACGGCTGGGGTTTAGAGAGCGAGTTATGGACCACAGGCGGGAAACGGGGTCTTTGCTGAAGGGCTAGAGCAGTTTTTAAGAGGACACAGCAGAGAGGTTATCTGTGAATGCAGGTGAATGCAGCAAACACACACACACAGACATGGTCATAGGTGGTATATGTGACGGCTGGGACCTCTACCTCTGTACCTGCCTCCCAGACAGGGAGCAGCGGGTGCTGAAGCCGTGGATGACCGGGATAATGGCAGTGACCGTCTTCCTCTTCCTGGTTTTCGTGGTCTTCCTCGTCAAAAAGTCGTGGTGCGGGGACTCCAGGTAACATGCCACGTGGAAGCGTACGGAAATGTGGTCACACCCCAAGCAGCCCAGAGCATCGCAATGTTTTACTAGAAGAATAAATCACTGCGGTGTGAAAGCACTGCTGACTGCGTCATTATGAAGCAGCCAGAGAAAAATTGTAGGATGGATTCTCAATCCGAGGGACAGAGCTGGGGGGGCTTAAAGATACAGTTATGATGTCACCCTTCAGGAGAGCAGTGCTAATGTTCTCCATGTGGTTCACACCATCCAGCACCATGAACATCTCCTTGCCAGGAAGCACACCGTTAATATGCTGCCATTTACTCCTCTTAGTAACGAGGAGGAAGTGGCCCAGGGCAAAGACTACAACAGGACTAACGATTCCATGTGCAACACGAATCTGAACATGGTCAGGTAAGGCTGCCATAACCACAAAACATTGGTAAATCCACCATTTTGTTTTGTCTACATACACTGAAGTACATCCTAGGTTACTAATGTCTACACAGAGTGTGAATGTGATGACTCAACAAGACCCTAAAGGTCACACAGAGAGCGGATCAGGCTGTGGGCTGCAGGCCTTATTCTGATACGTGGTTTCTGCATGTCCGTTTTCCAGGAGCGATGAATGTGACAATGCCTTTGATAACATAGCTGCAGAGGGGAAGGGAGTGATCATCACCGCCATGTGACACCCGATGCACCAATAGAGGCTTACCGTCTGTCAGCCCACCTGGCCACCATCTCCCAATGGGGCCTGTGTCTCGCTGTCTTTGGTAAAAGTGCCACTATTTAACATATATCTAACAGTTTTGCCTGGTGCTGGTGGCAGACTGAGGAAGCAGAAATCTGGAAGTTTTAGCAAAACCCCAGCCGAAGATGGTACAGCTAAAATATCCCTCATCAAATCTCTCGTTCTTTTTAAATGCAGTGTGTTGGTGATCTAATAGCACTGAGTTAGTGTTCTTGTGTAATTTTGTTTGTTTTTTATATATTAAATTTCACTTATTCTATTTTTGTGAGAACACCAGTCTTTGACCATAGCATTAAAGGTTAAACACGTACACACCTTACGTCTGTGCATTTGTTCTTGTGTTTTTATTCCACCTCAAAAAAATTCCTGTACCAATAGAAAGGGACATAAGGGTGAATTATTATCCAGATGCTGTGCTGAGTAAAGGAGAATGTTTCTGCTGAGCGTGAGGTTTGAAGGCGTAAAGTAGAACTCAGTCCACAGGAGTTAATAACCGACTGACCGACAGCCATGCAATGAGCGGACAGTTAATCATTTCAGTGGCGTGATGTATACTGTGGGCAGAGAAGAGCCTCATGGGAAGTATGATTAAACCGCAAAGCTGAGAGTCATGACCACTCCACAGCCGAAGACCACGTGTGCATCGTGTCTTTTATTACAGCGTTAAGTGATTTCAACAATTTCTTTGGATGTGAAGACATTCTACATAGATTGGCCGACAGGTACAAAAAGAGACCCTTCTATGGCACTACAGGGGACAGAACTCTGTCACTGAGAGGTCTGAGAAGCTCTGAATACTGCGTTCTGGGTTAGACGATTCGTTGCACGGCTCCTAAATTCACCATCGGGGTGGACACACCTACTACTTTTTCTTAATCAACAGAAAAAAAAAAAGACATAAGCAACAGACATTGGGCTGGACATAAGATCCGACGGTGGTGGTCGGGTCTCAGGAATGGACCTACAGACGACAGGAGGATGCTGGGAAGGGATCCAGCATCTGGACAGAATGAAAACATGACAGGGGAGGCCTAACACACAATGCAAATCTGATGTCATTTTCAAGGGACAGACTCCAGGATTGGTTATGAACAATGCAGTAAGTTACAGGGCTGGTTTCCATAGCAACGCAATAACCAATCAAACTAGAGGCACCAGTCAGAGGGGTAGACAGGTCAAAGGCTTCACCACAGCTAGCACATGTTTGACAGTCTCCTGGTACGTGGTAAACATCAGCAGAGCTGGGTGCATCCTGGTAATGCTTGTCCCTGTGCAGTCCGGATCCCAGATCTCAGCTTCCCCATGGGATGATGCCTTCTGGGAACCAGGCCCTCGAAATCCGAAGCCCATGCAGAATCACAGGCCAGCGACTACAGACCAGGCGGGATTTACTGACATCATCGGCACCGGAGAGATTCAGGCATGAGAGGGGAGACAAATGGAGGCAGACCGCCGGACACAGCGGGCAAACATACCAACACAAACGACATAAGGCATCTGAAAGACGGCATACAAAGCAAGACAAGGCTTAGCGAAACTGCTACTTGAAATCAATCAGCATTTGCTCAATTTTTAATTAAACTCAAGGCTTTTCTATGCTGAATGTTGCTTTAAGGTTCGGGACCTGGAAGAGGTGCCGCCACACGAAGACCCAATGCAGCCTGGGACACACGTGATGGGCACACTGACCCCTGGCTTCCCGTCTCATTTGACTTTTGTCTTCTGGTGAATGAATACGACGTTGCCGAGGCCAGGCTTCTGCCCAGCCAATCAGAGTGCAGCGCGTTGTGAACAAGCAGCATCTGGATGAGAGTGAGCAGGTTCCCATCTCCCCCTGGTGATGAGGAGACGAGGGCAGGAAGCATTTCACAAGCTGCTGGAGTCCTGTGCCTTGGTGTCCTCAGTCCCTCGGTGACCGTGTGACAGGTCCAGTCCACACTCCGGAGCACCACCCAGACCTCCCGGCTGCACAGACCAGGGCTGTGTGTGCATTTCAATGGGCTGGTGATTTTCAGACACACATCCCTCAAACTTGACCGAAGGGCTGCATGGCACCACGCAGGGTCCCGCTCGGATCACTTTCCTCATCCTGACGGATCTCCTGCACTCACGGAGTTAAAAATTGTGATAAAAAAGGGACAAGGACACGTCCTGCATACTCCACAATCCCTTTTCAGTGGTACCTTCCAGAGTAACACATACCCCATAATCCTTCAGGCCAACCTAAGCTCCTCTTTTGGAAGGAGAACAGGTGAAGTGGGAAAACTGGGCCAGGCTCCGCCCATCTTAGAACTCCTCCAGTCCCCATGCTCTCTCCTTTGCTACCTCACCCCGCATCCCCTTCATGGCCCATACAGTAGCTCCCAGTCAGTAGGGGTGGGGGAGGGGTGTTAGCTAGGTCAGGATTTCCAGTGTAACTGTCCCTCTCTGGCGCTTCAGCACAGCCACTGCCTGCTCGTGTGTCGCCCCATCCAGGCTCTCGCTGTTCACGGACAGAATCTGATCCCCTCGCTTTAAACGCCCATCCATGGCTGCTGCCCCCTGCAGGTGGGACACAGAAATAGCATCACCACACTGCAAAACATGGAGGGTAGTTCCCATTGTATGGATTATGTTGGGGGGGGGGAAGGAAAAAAAAAACTCTACATATAAATTTTCAGAGAGGAATAGAAGAACAAGCTAAATTTAATTAAAATACAGTAGTTGGGTTAAAAAACTTTCTGATTAAATTATACATTTATCTGAAAGAGGACTAATTTAATTTTAAATGGACTAATACTTCTTATGCTGTTAATCCCCATCCATATTTTCAACTTTTGCATTGAAAGCACAAGACATTTGTAAATTCCTGCCCAACTGTTCAAATTTGTTTTTCAAGTAAAGTGTTTCAAAACTTGAAAGTTGGCTGAATGCAAGCAAAAAACATTGTTCTCCAATTATTTACTGTATAGAGCAAACAGGGATTAATAACACATTTTATTAAAGATTACGACAACTTCTCAGAAGTGCCCACCTGTGACTGCATGACGATTGTACAGTAGATGTTTAACCACTTGGATTAATGCCATTTTATTTAAATCCTTTGTATTTGATACTTGACATTTAAGAATATCTGACACCCTGATATTTAGGAATCAATATTTATTAAGTGTTTGACTCTAAATGGTTTGGTTTACACTGTATAACTGTATAATTGGAGCTTACTGTCTTCAGGTCATGGGTATTCTCATAAAAACTGACTGGGGAAGGTTGGAGGGTTAGGGTTAGGGTTAGGCGAGAGCTTCTCTGCTGTCCTGCCTGCATGAGAACATGGACTTTAACCCTGTGAGTAATGCCGCTGTCAAGGAGGACACTGTGAGCGTGAGGCTTGGGACGAGAGAACTGCATGCCTTGGAGAAGACGGTCTTGACGTAGATGGGGAGGTCTCCGTGGGGGCTTCCGTACCCCCCCACGATGCTGAAGCCAAGGCCGTCGCAGCCCTTCTCCAGGGTGATGCTTTTGGGCTGCGGGGTCCTGCGGTATTGGGGGACAGGCACACAGAGCATCAGGGTGGCCGGTGTTACGACGGAGGGGCCTCGGTAAGGAGGGGGACACTTACTGGGGCTGGCCTGCCGGGGCTTCCGGCACACTGGGGGGGGCGGCACCACTGGACAAGCTGCCCACCTGGCTGGCAATAGCACTGATGTTGGTGTCTGCGATGACCTGGAGGCAGGAACACAGACTCTCACGTCACACTCACCGGCTCACGCACGGCTGCATGCCCTGACAAAGCTCACAACCCTGCGGGCTGCTTCGAACCCAGCACCCAGACAACAGGACCGGTAAGCAGGAGGCCAGAGACAGACTCCTCATTCACACCCCCGTCACTGTGCAGGAGATATAGCTGTTCGTATTTTATGAGTCTGCTGCAGGGACTAAAGAGGTAATGGAAATATTAACAAAAAATGAAATTTTCTTCATTACTGCACAGTAGGAGGATTGGAGGCTGAAGAGCAGCGGCAGATCGAGGCCTAATATGGAGTGGCAGCCAGGCCTGGGGGGCAGGTCAGCCCCCACGGCCATGGCTCTGCCTTATCTGCCTGACACAGCTTCCTCAGGAGGATGCTGCAGACGGGGGCAGCAAGCTATGGAGGTCTGGGAGGGGGGGCAGGTGGGTAGGAACATTCGGATGTAGAGGGGGAACACAGAGGATGCGGATCTCAGTGGGTACAGGGTGCATGGTTTAAGGGTGTCTTTCTCTTAGGGTTTAAATACATAATGTATGTTTATATATGCAGGGTGTGCGTGGGATAGTGGGTGTGTGCATATCTCTGTGTGTGATATGGTGTGTATATATACAGGGTGTGTGTGTGTGTGTATGCGTAATATGGTGTGTATATATAGGGTGTGTGTGTACTTGTGATATAGTGTGTATATATATGGGGTGCGTGTGATGGGGTGTATGTATATGGGGTTTGCGTGTGTGATAGGGTGTATATACACTATATTTCCAAAAGTATTGGGACACCCCTCCATATCATTGAATTCAGGTGTTATAATCACTTTCATAGCCACAGGTGTATAAAATCAACACCTAGGCATGCAGACAACTTCCACAAACATTTGTGAAAGAATGGGTTGCTCTCAGGAGCTCAGTGAATTCAAGCATGGTACCGTGATAGGATGCCACTTGTGCAATAAGTCTGTGAAATTTCCTTACTTCTAAAGTTAGTGGCATTATAACAAAGTGGAAGCATTTGGGAACAACAGCAACTCAGCCACGAAGTGGCAGGCCACGTAAAATCACAGAACGGGGACAACGCATGCTGAGGCGCACAGTGTGCAGAAGTCACCAACTGTATGCAGAATCAATAGCTACAGACCTCCAAACTTCGTGTGACCTTCAGATTAGGTCAAGAACAGTGTGTAGAGAACTTCATGGAAGGGGTGTCCATGGCCGAGCAGCTGCATACAAGCCTTACATCACCAAGTGCAATGCAAAGCATCAGATGCAGTGGTGTAAAGCACTCTGCCACTGGACTCAAGAGCAGTGGAGATGTGTTCACTGGAGTGATGAATCACGCTTGTCTGTCTGTCAATATGATGGACGAGTCTGGGTTTGGCGATTACCAGGAGAACAGTACTTGCCTGACTGCATTGTGCCAAGTGTAAAGTTAGGCAGAGGGGGGATTATTGTGTGAGGTTGTTTTTCAATGGGTTGGGCTTGGCCCCTTATTTCCAGTGAAAGGAACTCAATGCTGCAGCTTTCAAAGTCAATTTGGACAATTTCATGTTCCCAACTTAGTGGGAACAGTTTGGGGATGGCCCCTTCCTGGTCCAACATGACTGCGCACCAGTGCACAGAGCAAGGTCCATAAGGACATGGATGAGCGAGTCTGGTGTAGTAGAACTTGACAGGCCTGCACAGAGCTCTGACTTCAAACTGGTAGAAACACCTTTGGGATGAATTAGAGCAGAGACTGTGAGCCAGGCCTTGTTGTCCAACATCAGTACCTGATCTCAGAAATGCTCTCCTGGAAGAATTCCCATAAACACTCTCCTAAACCTTGTGGACAGCCTTCCCAGAAGAGTTGAAGCTGTTATAGCTGCAAAGGGTGGGCCAGCTTCATATTAAAGCCTGTGTATTAAGAATGTGATGCCATTAAAGTTCATGTGTGTGTAAAGGCAGGTGTCGCAATACGTTTGGCAATACAGTGTATACTGTGTGTGTGTGTGTGAGATATAGTGTGTATATATGTACACACAGGGTGTTCGTGTGATAGGGTGTATATATATATATACGGGGTGTGTGTGTTATACGGCGTATATATATATAC